GCTAACCGCTGAAGAGTGAAATTGTTTCAGTCGCAGAGGGGCAAAGAGCACATTTTACAAGACAAAAAGACATGAAGCTTTAACGAAGCATGATGGAAGGAGGAGGGGATGAGAGTTCAGGAAAACATGCCTCCTCAACATATAAAAGTCTACATCGTTTTATTTACGTCCAAAACCACACATTTCTCCCAAAGGACTTATTCAGACAAAAATCTAAGTCAGAATTTGCAGACTTGGCATTGCATCTGAAGCCTCCTGTATGGCGTATTTCTAAGAAGTCTGTCAATAAAACGCTAACAGCTAAATCAAAGCAACCCAACTAGTTGTACTCACTGCTCTGGATGCAGATATGCAGAGCTTTGGGGCACATGTAAGTACAGAAGTTATCATCACGTTTGATGGGACCTCCGCAGGTTTCTCAGAGTCTGGCAGTGATCAGGCGGCTCTCCTGGTGTTCTGCCTCTCTCTCTCCTGCATCTCCTCTTACACTGCAGGTGTCTTTTATTGAGCCAGAGGTGATTTACTGTACTCTTGTTTTTCTCCTCGCTGCCGCAATCAGGCACCGCGGTAGTGACAGGTTGAAGCTGGAGGTCAGATCTGTTCACGTACGTGCACACGCTCACTGCAGAGAACAGAGCGCGTCTGTAATTGGAGGTCATTATCAGAAAAGTTTGGCTTTTAGAGGGAGGCGAAACACCGGAGAGCTTGGAGCTGACTTTTTTTTCTCTTTTTTTACAAGGTGAGAGGTTTGTGGGATCTGTGTGGGCAAAGCTCAGCTCCGAGGGTGTAATTGTATACAGTAGACATCGAGATCACTAATCAGAAACACATTTATAATGTCGCTCTGCAAAGATCTGTTTCTGTTGGAAATACCAGTAATAAATACAACTAAATATGAACTACATCTTTGATAGCAATATACATGGAGTTATTGCATTAATTACATCCTAGTCAGAGCAGTCACAGTGAGGTTGAGAAGAAGTGTTTGGAAAAGTGCAACAGATACATAAGATGTATCATTTGATGCGATTATAAAACGTAGTCACAGACTTTTAGATCTGGACAATCATAAAGCAAATATTTTTCATTGTTGACGGTTTGAACTAATGAGCAAGTTTAACACATTAATCTTAAATCAAAATGCATTTAAATACGAGCTAAAAATCAACAATGATGTGATTATTCCTGGACCCAGAGGCTGGAGAGATGGTAGTTGCTGCTATTCTGCTAAGAAAGGCTAGTTTTCTGAGTTATAATTCAATTGTATGTGGACTAAAAATCTGAGTTACTAAAACACTTGAGCATCACAAAACTATTTTTGAACTTCTGAAAACACCCATAAGCTACCCTTTTCTAGCTGGAGTACCTTGGATTTTTCTGTGTCTTCAGCTTTTACACAATGTTTTGTTCCCCTTACTGTGGATTAGAATGACCACCGCTCCATACATGCAGTGTTACACTTTGTTAGCGCTCTCTGTCAACAGACCATGAGCATAAACTTCACATTCTATTTGGTAAAAGATTGCTTAAAATACCTATTTACTGTGTAAGGTTGATATTAAAGGATGGCTGTAAAATGAAGGTCTAACAGCGGGCTGATGAATGACATCTCTTCCAAAAATCCTGCTTTAATGCATACTGCTGCTTCGTGTTTATGACATTCAGTAAACTGATGTAAACCTTTATGCTGGCAGCCCTTGCTTTAAAGCTGATATCCTTTTCTTTCACCTCATAAATATCCCCCCAAACTAAATCCTCATCATTCCTCTCCAAGCACTTAAACTGTATTTGTAAAAGCAATCCAGAGAAACAGAAGAAGCTCTGGAAATAGAAGCTGGCTCTGGCTTTATTGTACTTGCTTCAGGAGGGCTTTCCCACTTAACTAACTGTGACGAACAGCTGGGGCGCAGAGGAGCAACAATGCAAATGAAAGGTGACAAGAACTCCGCTCTGCCCCACCGCAGACATCCAGCCTGATGGACAAACCAGAGGCTTTAATCAGCCAAACAAGGAAGAAACACATGCTGGGCTTTCCAAACATGCACGCTGTCGGGGCTATGTGCAAACACTAGGCTCGTGGCACTCTTTACACGACCAGTGTCCTGCAACCCTGGACTCCCCCACCCACCTCATCCCAGAAAAAAGGCTTGAGGCGTCGGGTTGAAGTGCCAGAGTGAAATGAACCAGCAGACAGGCGTGTAGACTCACAGCGCGCCGGGCTAAAAGCAGCTAAACACTCCCAGCTGTGTGAGGGACTCTGCAGACGCAGAGAGGATCTGTATTCCTCTGTCCTGCCTCACACTGTTTTAAAGGTCTCCTATCATGCCAAATGCACTTTTTTTGTCTTTTATACTAAAAATACGTGTCCCTGAGGTGTAAGGGAACTCCTCTATCTTTTCCTCCGTACCCAAATCTCTAAAAAAGGGGGGTACAACGGAACTGTTCCAGATTTGCTGCCGATATGATGTAATATCGGAAACGTGGACCCACGGCAACTATCAGCAACTTTGCTATCAGAAACAATGCCCGGCGTGTTTTGGACGTAATATGGTCTTTCTTTATATTAGCAAGCATCGCTAACACTCAGAGCTAACTTGTACTGGAGAGAGTATGTGTAAAAAAGCAGGATATAAAAAGGAACTCACCTTGTGGTAAACCTGTGAGAGAAAGCATTTGAGCTCCGTACTGTTTCAGAAATAATCCTTGATGTGGTTTGGAACATGATATGGTTTTTCATCATGGCAGCATTTAGCTGAGAATCTCTCAGTAGCATTCTGAGCAGGCATTAGCGCCCCCCGTCTTTTTTCTTTTTTAAGCTAAGGACCCGGAATCAGCACTTCTCTAACAGAGCTGAAATAGAGGGGTATGAGGCATGGCTAGAATGGGTGACATGTTTGGTATTTTGAGCAAAAACACCTCATAGACATGTTTTTAATATAATTTGATATACCTGAGACCTATAAAATATATGTTTAAAAATAGCATGATAGGAGATCTTTAAATCAGCACAGAGACAAGAGGAGATGGAGGTTTGGTGAAGCAGTTTGGTTTTAGGTTGCAGCAGTGGCGTGTTCTCTGTCTGTGAGGCTGATTTATGCTCACTTTGTTCCCCTTGTCCTCGCTTTCCCTCTCCCACCCCTCAGCGTCTATCTCTGCTCTCCTTCGACTGCTTCTCTTCAGCTAGAACAAGCAGGATTGTAAAAATGCATCAACAGGTCTTATCCTGACCTCTGATCTGATCTTTTGTCAGGTTTCCATCTCGTTGCTCAGACACAACCGCTGGGATTGTTTTTGACTGTTACATAAACAAAGCACACCACGTATCGGCCAGATCTTAAAGAATACACGCTTGAATACGTTCAGCGCAGAGGTTATTCAAAGCATGTGAGAGATGAAAGATGTGGTTTCAAAGATGTCGGAGGTGTCTGTAGGCGGAGGTCTGTTTCAGAAATTGGTTGTTAGTTTGAACAGATCAGACATGTTGATAAGTTGATTAGCAAGCAAACGCTAACTTTGTACAGCATTTATCAAAACAAGAGTACAGTATTAAGAGATGTGAAACTGGAGTAAAGGAGGCAAGTCAGCAAACAAACATCTGATTTAAAATCCTTTTTAAAGACTTGTTTGGAACCGCAAGGAATTTTCCTTTATAAACAATGACTTAATTACTAATTACTTCTTAAATGCATAACACGCTTTTTAAAACCAATATTTGGGCAAATCATGCAATTTGAAAAGGTTCAATTGAGCTCTACATAAATTGTGATAGATATTTATATCGGTTTTCTGAAATGTTTCAGTCATAACCACTGCAAGCATCCCAGCAAGGAGGGCAGTTATTATAGGAAGAATGTCTTTTTTTAAAGTGCACAATTTTCTTTTTAAACTCTTTTCAAAATGTTTATTTTCCTGGCCATCTCACCTTAACAAGCCTCTAAAAGTGAAATGGGAGGGAAACAAGAGAAGTAAACATCCCTTTATTTAATGGGTCACCAGCCAAAAGGGGATGAGAACCTCTGGACTTAAAGAGGCAAATAAAGAGCTTTTTGAACATTAAAGCAGGTTAACATGCCACAGTCGAGACACAAATTACAAATATGAAACCGGAAAATGAGCACAATAGGGCCCCTTTAATGATTCTTGAAGATGGCAGTGTCTGTAGGTCGATCAATCACTTTGGTACAGAACAAAATATCTTAACAACCATTGGACGGGTTGCCATGTAATTTCCCACAGGTGTTCATTGTTTCCAGGGCATGTTTCCTAATTACTTTAGTGATCTCTGTATACCTTTTCGGATGCAAGATAAATTATTTTAAATTACCTCTCTGGTTTCAAGGTATGCCCTTACCTCCGCTGAGCTTTACTGAGGGGTTGGGGTTGGGGGGGGCATGAAACAACCTGATGACCTCATGTTACGGGATGTGTGGTTGCTCTGCAGCCAGCACAATCCTCCACACTGCACGTACCATATATAAACATCTGCATCCGTGATACCTCTTATCACCTGTCCTGCATCTCTGTGGGTCTTTTGTATGGGACCTCCGCGAAGTGCTCCCGCTATGCCTGGTTCCCCCTGCTTGTACCTCTGCTGCCACAGAAATAACCCTGAAGAATGCCTTTGACAAGTGTATCACAGATGTTGCCTTTTGTTGCCGGACTGGGGCTGTTTGCATGGATGTATGAAACCGACAAGCCAACACTAGCCACGCTAGATGGCAGCAAACACTGGTCTTTTACCGAAACAGCAATAAACAAGCCGTCGTCGTGCATTGAGGACGTGATTTATGTGACATGTCGGCTTTCTCAGGGGCCCACAGCGCTGTTTTTATTTATTTTTACAGTATCTGGACCATTGTGAATCCATAGACATCACATTACCCGCATGTTGTGCCTTTTAGTTTATGTTAAACTTTTCAAAGGGAGTTCTGGGAGGAGGAAAGTTGACAGAGTGACGCTTGTTCTTGTTCTTACATTCCTCTCTGTCTCCCTCGCGCCAGGTGGGACCAGATGGAGAGTTCGGAGGAAGGATAAACGGGAGATTACCTCTGTAATGTCAGAGAAGGCCAAGGTTTGTCAGAAAGACACATCGTTGACACAAGCAAAGATGTCTTCTCCTTCTTCTGCTTCCTAACATCTTCTGTCACTTCTCATATCCATCTTTTTCTCATTCTTTGTATTTGTCGTTCTTCCTTATAATGAAATCACTGTCTCTCCAAATAGCCTTATCATATTTCATATCCACTGTAGAGACCACTATAAACCAGTGGATGAGTTTTATGTAGGTATATCAATTGTTAATGAAATCCATCCCCACAAGCCTCAGAACTGAGCTTTCCATAAAGCCATGTCAGCACCAAAGCTTTCATCGCTAAATGATAAGCCAGTGGACAAAGCGTGATCCAGTGCGGAAAGGAAGCCGAGTTATTTGACTCAAGTATTAGTGAAAAGTAAGTGAGATCCCATTTGATGAAATAGGCTTAACACAAAGCACTTTGTAGCTTGAAGCTTTGAAGGGATGTGGGTGTAATGTGCTCTCATACGTATATCATCTCATTTTCTTTATCGTTTTTATATCTGCACCCTGTCAACTTCTCATTAAGTACATATTGCATATGGAAGCAAAAGACCAAATACCCAATGTCTCTGGTGGTGACCAGGATTTCATTGTAAGAAAAGCAAGAGAGCTCAAAGCCAAAAGCAAACCTGCACACCACTCTGTAAATATTAACTTTCAAGAAATAGCTGAGAGCAATGCCTCGTCAAAAATCTACTTAAATATCACTGTCATGGTAGTTAGCAGCTTTTTAGCTTAGCAAAAAGACAGTCAACTAGCCTGGTTCTGTTCACATCCAGGTTTTATAAAAATACAACTACCAGGAATGCTTAAACTCTTTATTAAAAGAGATATTCAGATATTTAATGTTTGACAAAGAAAGGCTAATGTATCTCTGTGTCTGCTGGACATGTAAGCAGTGGATCGTTTTACCATGTCAACTTCAAGGTGATGAATCTCAATGTTGAGCTTTATTCCCTGCCAAAGAGTGTCCAAAAAAGTTAATTAATGCAGATAAAACAACTATCATTTTTAGGTAACTGAATGAAAGCTTTTTAAAAACAGAAGAGATAATATGGTTTGCTTTCCATGTCCTGGTTCTGTCCTCTTCACTCTTTTGTTCATTGATTAAATCAATGAGTCCCTGGAATATCTTTGTGTCAGCTAACATCTGGCTTCCCTCTCCTGTAGGTGCTGCTGTGGGTCCTCCTCTCTCTGCTGCCTCTGGTGGAAGGAGCTCATATGAAGGGCGGTGCTGCTGGTCCTGGATCAGATTCGGGCCCTGGCGTGGGGCTGCAGGCAGGCCAGGAGGAGCGAGAGCTTCCTGTGACGCTGTCAGAGGTGGTGGAGGACGAGGAGCAGGAAGACCACACTGACCCCTACTCTACTTGGCACGCTCTATATGGTACTGAGGCCCTTATGAAAGTCTTATTTACAGCTTCATCAAACAGTATTGGAATGGAAAGAGGGCATGAGCCCGGGATCTGCTTTCTATCTCAGTCATCATGATATATTTACAGGACATTTAAAGGGTGACATTTTAAGGTAAAAGGCGGACATGATAGATTTCAGAGATATGGAAGCCCAAAGAGGGCTTCATTCAATTGAAAATGAAAGTGCAATAATCCAATTCACATTTTTATAACCATAACAAGTATAAATGGAAAGGCTGTGTGACATTTCGTTTTCTAAACAGTGCAAAGCTACATTTGAATTAAAATGCTCTATAGCCAAACACTCCTTCACTGCAAACCAGATCAAATTAATATGTAATACTTTTTTATTTTATTTACCATTTTAATATTGTCCACTCTATGACTCGGCATGTCTTTTCAGATTACAGATGTTTTTATTAGTCATAGACTGTTATATGAGAATGTGCAAATTGGATTATAGCTCTTCATTTTTACTCACATAATGTGGACAGTTATAATGCTTTATGAAATCTTCATTTACATTAGAGTGTACATTACCATTTAAACAAAGTCCCCTATGCGCCTGCTGAAGATATTTGCATGTGTTTTAACTTTCATTGAAACTCTCCCTGTCTCCTTTTTCCTCTCCGTTTTAGACCCCTTTGTGATAGATGAGGTGGATGACCATCCCAGTAGTCGCTGGGCGGGACGCTTGCCACGCTCCTCTGACCCCTCAGAACCTCCACCCAAGGGATCACCAAAGAAAAAGAAAAAGGGGAAGAGGAAAGAAAATCAGGAAGAGGCAGGAAAAGCAGATAGGAAGGGTAAAGGTAAGAGCAAGCAGCCAAAGAAGAGCAGCAGGGACTGCCGGATGGAGAAGAGAGAGATGAAGGTTCGGGACCTGGGCCTGGGCTTTGACTCGGATGAGATTGTCCTCTTCAAGTTTTGCGTTGGCTCCTGCAAGGCCTCCAGAAAAAACTACGACCTGGCGCTGGATAGGTTGCTGGAGAACGGCTCTCTGCCCCGGCGCACCGCTCGCAAGCTCAGCAGACACCCCTGCTGCCGGCCGGCCGAGTACGAGACGGTCTCCTTCATGGACGCCCAGACAGCGTGGAGGACCATTGACTCGCTATCAGCCGCCAGCTGCATGTGTATGGGCTGAAGACATGAAGGAGGGAGAGGAAGAGGGGTGTCACCCATCCTGAAGCCAGTGGAGTTAGAGACGAGGGTCGCTCTAACACACACAGAGCACGGAAGTGACCGAGGCCACTTGTTGTGTATTTCCTGTTGAGGAGGAATCGTTTTGGCGGGAAGACTGAAGGTCAGAGACTGCCATCAGGGAATCACCATCTGGATATATCGTTGGGTCTTCAAAGAGTGAATAACTTTTACTGAGTAAATAATGAAAATACTCCAGATAATACACATTAAAGAGACTCTATATGTGACATCTTTATGGGCGAGACCTGAAGGCCGAAGCTCGAGAGATAAGACACATCTAAAGGACACTGTGTTTATATTCTGACTAAAAAAGACTGATGTTCACTATCACTCACAGTTAAGCCAGCTGCTCCCAAAAGGTATATCATTTTCTCCACATAAAAACAGGGACATGACATTGTTTTGTTTCTATGTTCAGGTGAACTCAGCCAAATGGATGCCATGCATCTTCCTGTATTACTGTATAAAAGTAACATATATTTATTTCTGATAAATTATTTATTTATTATAGCTTCATATGAGAGCTGTTTTTATTAACTCTAAATTGTAGATACATATCTATTTATTGCCAAGATTCAGATTTCATGTTGACAGCTACTTCTACTTCTTGCATGTAGTATGTGTTTTTTTTATTCGGGTCTCCACATTTATCCAACGCCTCATGGACCTATGGACAGCTGATTAAACGCTGCTATTTGTAAGATTACATTGGATAAAACAGAACCATGATCCAAAATCTCAGATTGATTTTTACATTTTTTCCAGACAGTAAAACAAATCCTATTAAATAACAGATTGACCTACATTGAAATGATGTGGAATACTTAATAAATATATTTTTTCAAGAGCACCTCACATACTTGAGCTTTGGCAATGATACCAGCTTTTCCACAGCACAGGTAGAATGTATGTACAGTAAACAGGTTAAACATCTACACTACAGGACCTCAACATTTCTCATCTTAAAGTTCATTCAGTATGTCACGTTATTATCATTATTATTATTATTATTTTATAAAGTTTTTTTTATTTTTGTATGGCATTATCCTCCAAGGGAATAAAGTTTTTTTTAATATACATCTTGTAATTACTTCACTGATTGCACAGCTTGACTTCAGAAGTGTTTTCTCCTTATGACATCCTTACTTATTTTTTCTTTCAGCAGGATCAACACCTCTTTAGTTACAATTAAGTCTTTGTTAATGTTGTAGAGCCACCTGCTGGTCTAACATGTGAACCTGTTGTGGAGTTAGACCTGAAATAAGTCTCTCTCCTGCCATCTGTCTGTTCAACTGTGAATGTTTGAGCAGCTGATTTCTTGTTGGTAAAACAGAGGAAGAGGAAGACCTCGGCAGTATGCTTTCTTCTTTATTTCCCTGCACAGACCCACCAACACATCCAGCAAACACCACAGGTCATACAGCTCACAGCAACACTATTTGTTTTTAAAAGGTGACTGAATGTTAACATTTGCAGATATCAAAACATGATGTGCAATATAAAACAAGATTGAAAATGTCTACATTCAATTTCCTCTTCATCATGCAACACAGGCAGTAAATTAGCAGCATTTCGATACAAAAAAGTAAAATCAAGTGTAACAACAATACATAATGAATAAACATGTATTGCAAATGGCACATATTGATTAATAGTGTGTAAAACTCTCAGAGTGTAAGAACATGTTTACCCATAGGGTATAATTATAGATTGTTTACATTTCCATATTTGGAAATTGCAACAATTGGCAGTGTACTTTTAGCAGAATTTGTAAAACTGTGAATCATTTTCAGCTAAACGTTTAGCTATCGGTTAAGTTAAAATAGTGAGCACCCATAGACCATAGTAAGCCCAAAAATGCCATCCCATCTGTGACACCTGAAATATTCTCCAGTTTCACTGTGAACACAACACAGCTGTGGTAGGTTGGGGCAGTGTGATTTCCTGGACCTTTTCTGACTGAAGACATGTTTTAGTTGATATGAAGAAGATGTACATGCACATCAACTATTGTACTTTTTTCAGATCCTGAAGTGATCACTTAACCTTTAAATAAAGCCCAGAATTGAAATGTTAGAGAGCTCTGTGCAGCAGAATGAATAACAAGAGAGTGACGTTTGATCGAGTGCTTGAGATCATTTCAGTCGCAGTCACAATTGCTGTTTCAAGTGTTTCATTCATTTGAGCATATGGCTCTTTGGTGGTTAAAACTATCAGAAGAGATCTCATTGAGTGGATTTTTCCACTGGCAGCATCATTTTTCTCACAGTTGAATTCACATGAACCACTTTGCTATGCACATGAAGCACCTACCCACATAGGAACACTACACTGGTGTTGGCAGTTGAATTGCCAAGTGTTCATCAAAGGCATTTCGCTGACTGGCATGAACTCGGTGTGCTAAACGTGCAGGTGACAATGTCCACCTTTCTCACGTGCGCAGAAAGGGGCGGCGTCGCGCTGCCTCGTGAAGACTCCTTGACCTCCACTTCCTGTTTGGAGCCGGTTGCTTCTTCCTCATCACACCCGAGGATCGCCGTGCTCTCCACGCTGAACGGGTGAAAGTTGACCCGAGCGGTGTCGTACTCCCATGCTTGTCTCATGGCGAAGTCTGTGAAAGATTTATGATTGATGGATACACGTGCTTCCACATCGTTCCTGAAGCTGGCTGTGCGTAATGACGCGTAACTGGTATCATCGCTGTTTAGAGACGGAGGGGAGTGTTGACCTCCCACCCAGCCGATGTTGTCCCCACGAATGTCTTTAGTGTGCGACATTGTCCTCTTTAGCTTCTCGCAGCCCTTCAGCAGCAGGTTCTTCCGGCACAAAATGTAAACCCAGGGGTCTAATATGGGGTTGAATGAGGCGAAGCGGATGGCCAGCATGTCGCTCCGGTAGTCAGGCCTCCCCCCAGCAGAGATGTAGGCAGGGTCGTAAAGCTGGTTCACGAAGATCCGCACCTGTCAGATAAAAGATAGTTCGAAAAAGGGTGTAATCACACAAAAGAAAAAGCATAACTAAATGCAACAAGACTTTAACAAAGATACAGGGTCAAATAAAGTAACATTAAAGTTGTCCTTACCACTAAAGGGATGGAGCAGACCAGGAACACGATGGTCATGAAGATCATCAGCCAGAACATCTGGATCTCCGCGGCCGAGGTGACCGAGGGCAGCCGGGGGAAGCGGCGACGTGACCCCCTCTGCTCACAAGAGGTCCTCTGGTTCATCCCCACCAGCGATTTGCACACGGCCAAATTACACAAAAGTGTCACTGCGATCAGCACCACCATCACTCCGCCGTACAGAAAGGAGTAGCATGCTCCGAGTGAGTCCGTCGCCCTCCAGTCCAGAAAGCACCAAGTCCCGGGAAAGTGCCTGACGTGCTGCCCGAAGCCAAAGCTGGGCATAATGCACAGCACAATGTTAGCCAGGTAGGCGGCCAGGAGTGCAAATCGCGCCATGGTCCGGTCTATGTGCTGGGAGTAGAAATACGCATGGTTTATGGCCAAGTATCGCTCCACAGCCATGGCGCACAGGATGGACATCCCCGCAGAGCCGAAGAAGAGCATGGAGAAGGAGAAAAAGTGGCACAGTAACACTCCTCCCGGCCAGCGGTTGGCCACATATGTGGCGATCACCACGGGGCTGGTGAAGCATGTTCCCAGCAGGTCCGTGATGGCCATCCCGCACACCAGAGTGTAGAAAGTGGTCTCTTTCTGCTCCTTTTTGGAGATGCACAGCACGACTATGGCAATGAGGTTTCCCAGGACTCCCACGGCGAACATGGTGGCTGAAGTGACCAGAGACTTGGACTCCAGCCGGAGCGCAGGGAAAGCACTTTGGTTGTGGCTGAGAGCAAGAGGAGGCAAAGGCGCAGAAACATTCGTGTCCAAATCTCCAAAGGCAAGTGTGTCGTTGATCATTATTAAAACCAACACTACACAGAGGTACAGTGAAATTAACTTTCCGCGTTGTTTAGAAAACTTGCTCTGGAAATAAAGTCAAAATAAATCCTTAACTGTAACATGACATCCTGAAGTTTTCTCTTTCAGACGGAGCATGCAGTGCATTGCTTTGGACTGCTTGTTCTGTTCAGGTTCCAGCAGTGTGTTTGTCTCGCGATGCGCCCCTATGAAGGTGTGCCTGCTGTGTTTACACCGCTCGGTGCTGCTGGCATTTAAGCTGTGTGCTGATGTCAGGAGAATGACGTGCGGGATGTGAGCTCAGCGACCCAGGGTTCCCAGGAACACATTTCTGCATGCAAGAATCCATACTCCTTACTTTTTATTGCCCACTATTTATCAGCCTGAGAGGTCAAGTGCCAGCAGCTTTACACACAACGGAACAAACATAATTAAAATGTGATGGCATATCACACCATCACTCAAACACCTGCTTTTGTTTATTAATTTTAGGATTAAAAGACACCATAACCTGCCTTAATTTGCTTTATATTTTCTCTGAAACAACTATTATACAAACTACAATATCTATGTTGGTGATAACACATTTATAGTGTCCCCACGCCCTAATGAGGTAATATACAAGTAAATGTGAGATACACAATATTATAAAAACCTATGTGTTTTAATTTGAAAAATAAATAATCTGTGAAACCATAAGGTCCAGAAATAGTATAAAGATATAATGTCATAAAACTTCAGCACCATGGTCAGCGCCTTAAATACAATCAGCACCACACTCAGAGATAGTCATCATCACTCCGCTGCTGTTTAACCCCACACTAAGCATGTAACCCTTTATTGATCACTGTGTGCCTAATGAGGTTGAAATCGATGGCACTACAAAGACCACTGCTTAAAAGCACTTAAAGTTCTGCATGAATCAGAACATGTTACTAAAGAACTGACAAATGTATTCGGTGCACACGATGAAAAAGAGCTTATAACGTCTTGTTGTTTTTAATAGCAGTACAACCCTTGAGCTCTATCTGACTTGTTTTGACTTCCGGTTATTTGTCTCATGAATGCAACCTTTTTTCAGACGAAACAGTATCAGTGTGCCTTAGACAAGGAATCACTATCAACAATTATTTTGTGAGTTGCTTATTCCCCACAAGCCTTTTCAGATAAATCAATCATAGCTAAGCAGAGCACATGTAGTGTTTGCATTTAAAAGCTCCTTTTGATGAGTCTGTGGAGGTTTCTGTACGCTTATTCTTTACTGAACATCCTCCCACTGAACAAAACACTGCTGACACACACTATACACTGAAAGCTATCATGAGGACAAACACTACAACCGACGTCAGTATAGAGCCATGCTTTCTTTTCACTGTCGGAAGTGTTTTGAGTTTTACAATGAATGAACCTCAGATCCAGCTGATGTATTTTTGCACCTGCCGTTTTGTTTAATTTAAAATGAGTGTGAATCACTGATGAATATGTCCCTGGGATGTTATTGTAAACCAACAGGAGTGTTATCCTGGAGCTTGATTACAACATGCAAGTTACATGTTAGACTTGATTATTGAAATACTGCACTGTGTAATCAGGATTAAATAGGCTATAGATGGTTATACGGATTATCAAATTACAATTGTGCTCTTCTCTAAATAGACTATTCTCCATCAAAACCTTTTAACCAATGAATTAACAATGTGCCCTGAGATGTTATTGTAGACCTAAAAGAGTATTATCCCGTATCTTGTAGCTTGTTCCTATATTTATCCAAGTTATATCTAAGACGTTATTATTTAAATACTTCATAATGAGACATACAGCAGTTTGGACAGTGTAGTGTGTACAGTAGCTCTTGAAAGCTGTACTCCATGATTTCAGAACACGATGACTTGCATCGTCTTCGGGACTATTCTTCATCGCAACCTTTTTGAAATGCACTACAAGGTAGTACCTAAAATAATTACCCTAGATTGGCCAAACCGCATGAACACTTTTATGAGACTTGCTCCCCAACGACTTATCATAACCTTTGCCATTGGAGGTCAGTGCCCCTCTTTAATAATTTGAGCTCTATTCCTATTTGTATCAATCTTGAGTTTTTTGCTCACCTTTTAACACCACCACACCACAGGGGGGTTTCTGGTACTCGTTGATATCTGGCTCAATCATCATTTTCTCCTATAGGTTTTTTCATGGGCTTTATACTGTTCTCCTCCTTATTTCCTTATTTGGAGTTTGTTTAATAAATCATACATTTTAAATATGCTCATATACATTCAATTTCATGAGTAATCATAATGAATGAAATCACTCTTTCCTATGCGGTGTTCTATAGTGCATCTCCTCTGGTTAACTGGTTCTCTAACTGTACCTTCTGAACCTTGAGACTTCTCCTGCTATGCTTCTTCAGCGATGAGTGATCTGTCAACCAGGGGATGATTTTGTACGGATTGAAAAAGCACAATTATTGTGAAATACACCTCAGATGTGCTGTGAAGAGCTGGCCTCAGGTGTCTTGATAGCACAAACATAGCCCTTATTCATATTCATAAGAATCGAGTCACTGAACTGGAACACGTCGGAAAGTTTTGTTATAAGGTTTGGTTTATGATGATTTTGAATAATATAGTAAAATGACTCAATGCAGACACATTGCGATGTACCGAAGCCTATATATGACCTTATATCATTATTAGTATTTCACCTTTCTAGTTGCTGGAGGAGACACTATTGTTTTAACTGTTAATAAGGTTGGGTACTTTAAAATATAAAGGTACATTATAATTCTATATCATCGTATCATATATGTCATTTTATGTATGTATTATGGTTGAGTAGAAAGTACAATATTAACCTATGACAATAAAAGTAGCATGTAATGGGTGTGCTCAAGTAAAGTAAAAGCACCTCAAAATTGAGTAAATGTATTTTGGTTCATTCCACCCCTGTATCTTCAGGGGTGGAGCATATACTGTACAATGTTACCTGCATAGCATAACATAAAGTCAATCAATTAAGAAATAGTCAGTATATCCTATTCACACACACATATGAACACATACACACACATACATACACACTCTTAGTAGTAGCAGCAGCAGATAATCTAATCTTTGAAAATGAAAGAATTCATCATATAAAATGAGATAACAGTCTCTCTATTGGTGGATGTTGCTGGATGTTGTGGCTCTCTATCTCTGTCTGTGTAAGTGGATTCTTCTCCTCCTCTCATGGACCCATGCCTCCTGGGAGTGTGTGTGTGTGTGTGTGTGTGTGTGTGTGTGTGTGTGTGTGTGTGTGTGTGTGTGTGTGTGTGTGTGTGTGTGTGTGTGTGTGTGTGTGTGTGTGTGTGTGTGTCTGTGTCTGTGTGTCTGTGCGGGTTTTACCTTGCCTCTGTGCCGTAATAACCCGAAGCTTTCATACGTCAGCGTCTGTGATGCCCACACAAAGAAATACACTCTTTCACTCTCCACACACACAACCTGAGGGACTCATGGCCGCCCACACTGAGCAGAGTGGAGAGGGTTTAATAAAGTTTCCTTCGGTGTGTGTGTGGTTATATATATATACGTAAATGTGTCATTGGGCTACTCGCCTGGCACATACCATCTTTGGGGATTCCCCTTTCAAATTATAGTACTTTAATCTATTTTCAGGCCCTTAATAAAGTGTCCGTGTAGGGTATGTGCAGTCTGGGAGGATGCTGGGAAACTGATACACACACATTTATTAGGCTGGCTGTAAGGGGAGATATAGGTGATTTATTCTAGAAACTACACTGCCTGGTTTGAATGGTTTAAGTGAGCCTCTCAGTTCTCACCAAGCAATGACGCTCAAGCTTTTGAAGATTGTCACTGCTTATTACGTGTATCTCACTATAATCGATATTCTCTGTTGAGGGAAATCAATAAGCAAGTGAGGTATTGATCCGTATATGATGTGTTCGGAATCAAAAAGTCAAAGCTTATTATTTTGGCCCGACTGTTGACATATAACTAGCAATTATTTGTTAAAAATGAATTTCATCATACAGTATGTGACCTGTTATTTAAGTTGGAATGCATTTTTTTGAGCTGTGACCTTTTCAACTAGTTATTAATAATACAAAAAAACAATAGCTTGTATTGTATTGGTTCAAAAACATCTTTACCTTATTTTTTCAGTTCAACCGTTTTGAAGGCCGGTGTAAAAAAATAGTTAAACATTAGGGGAAATGCTCTTATTTGCTCTCTTGGCGCAAGGGGGGGTTGTTAGACCCCACTCTCATGTAAATATTAAGCAACAGCCAGGAGACGGTTAGCTTAGCTTAGCATAGCATAAAGACGGGAAACAAGACAACAGCTGGCTCTGTCCAACATTTTCTGTATAACTTCGGTTAACTCCTTAAAAAAACAAGGAAAAAATATACCAAGATTGTTAGAAATGTACGCTTGTTTCTAAGATATCATTTCATAAATAATGAGATTCACATTTTTTTTAACACATTCATTAAATAAAAAAAGGCACTCTTTTTATAATTAACAGTAGTGCAGCTGCAGTGGTCCCATCAATTCTATACCAAGGCCATTTGGCTAAAAGTCAGTTATTCAAACCGCCTACAGAAAGAAAATGAGTTGTTGAAATCTCAAACATTTCATATTTTAATAGACTTTACAACCTTTTCAAAAGAACAATAAGATAAAAGAGTATTCAAAATCCCTTTTTCTTTCTCCAAAGAGAGTCAGACAAACCCACCCAGGTGCCAACACTTGTTGCTTTGCATGACGGGCCTGCGGTTAGTCACAACGTTGAATAGGTCTAGGTGCGACTTTGCAAAAATGTGTTGCTTTCCTCTGACGTAGCTGAGCCCTGGGATGGTCTCATTAAGATGCCAATTTATTCTGTCAATGATATTAGCCTCCAGTTCACAAGCAATAAGGAATGTAGTAATAACAAGAGGTGCTTACAATAGTTAATAATGAGAAAGAGAGAGATAGAAGACAGGTGAAATTAGCTATAGC